AGCGGCCGTGGGCTTCCCCAGACCGCGCCCTGGTCTACCCAGGGCCATGTTGTTGTTAAATAACAAAATCAGCTCACACCAGCAGGGCAAAGCACAAGAAGAGATCAACTCACTTGAACAACGGATTTTATCAAAAGAATCAAATTCCGACAACACTCGAACCGCATCGGACCAAATCGACGGAAGCGGAAAAAGTTTGCGTTTGGGGAGAACTCCCCGTGATTGCTGGCACTCTTTTTCAGGCGCCAACAAGGCGCGAAGTCGGTTCAGCAGCTCTTCTCGAGCGGCTGCGGTGTCATTGAAGACGAAGAAATGCAGCCCCACTCCCAACTCGGCTACGGAGCCAGCGGAAGTGATCAGGGCGTCCCACCACTTCAAATCAGGTGGATGATCGAAGCTCAGGCCTCCTTGGCCTTCCCTTTCTCGTCGGTCTGGTCCTGCTCCTTGTTCCCCTGTTTCTGCCAGCCCCATTGCTGGTTCTTCCATGCTCCTCGGCCAGACCATGCGTTCTCCTTCGGCTTGCCCTTCTTTCCTTTTCCTTTGTTCTTCTCCTGCCAAGGCTCGGCTCTCTGCCAGCCCTGATCTCCTTTGCCTCTTGGTCGATTGCTGCCCTTGCCCTTCTTGTCGTCCGCGGCCGTGACCTTCTCCATCAAACGCCCAAACTTCCTGGCCGCCAGCGTTACTGCTGACCCGGCGGCGGTCTGGTGCTCTGGTGAATACAGTTCCAAGTGCCTTGCCGCTGACCAGCCTTGGTCCAGGCTCGCCTGCTCGAGGGCCAGCCATCTGGCCGCGAGGGCGTCCCCCAGTCGGGCGAGCCGCCCCACTCGAAGAAGGTCGATGCAATTTGCCAACAAGTACAACTCTCGCCCGTCTCGGGACTGTTGGTTCACCGTGTTGCTTTGGATCAGGTTGTGCCAGTAGGTCACCAACTTTGTCCCGTGAAGCAGGGGGACAGAACTTTCTCCCCCTGTGCCCAACTCGTTCAGGCGTTCTTCCACCTGTTCGACCAGTAGCGCAAGCACTGATCCCTCTTCGCGATCGCTTTTCATTTTGAGTGGGGGCAAGAGCTTCGTCTCGTCTCCTGACGAGTCCTTTTCCCTGTCGCTTGAATAGGAGGAATCGTCTCCAGTCGAATCGTCTGACCCGCCAGGATCTCCTCCCCCGTCCTTGTCGTCCTTCTTCTTCTTCTTCTTTCTTTTGCGCTTTCCTCCCAACAGAGTCTGCAGCGCGGAAAGGGCTTTGTCCTTCTTGCCCCTTCTCTTCTTCTTCTTGTCTTTTCGCCCCCGAGCTGCAGCTGCTTGAAGGGCCAAACACGAAGCCACGCCTTTCTTGCTCAGCTTCTCGCTCGAGGGTCTCGAAATACCATCTTTTGGCCCCCCCCCCCGGGGCCATGCTCACCAGGGCCCGGCTCGGGCCAGCCCTGGCATGCGTCAATCCAAGCTTCGTTGAAGTCCTCAGCCTCTCCTGTACAGGTTCGGCATCGCCATCCTCCTCGTCGTCCAAGCGGCCTCCATCTGTGCCTCCAAGTCCACCAATCGCTGCCTCCTGTTGCTTGCGCTTGATCTTTTCCAACCTTCCCCGCAAGGCATCCATGCCAGCGGTCTCGGCCGGCGCGCCACCACCAGCCTCGACGTGAGGCCCGGCTGACCGCCTGGCCTTGGCTCCATCGCCCAAACCTTTGCCACGAGTGGCCTTGGGGCCTGTAGCACGCTTGGTAGTTCCCTTTGGGGGCTTGAGGGCCGACTTCCTTTCCTCTGGAGGCCCCACGTCTACCATCTCGGGCTCGTCCATGCCATCGTCTTGTCCCTCCAGGATTTTCTTCAAAATTCGCCTTCCTGAGCGGCTCATACGATGCTCTGGGAAAGTGCTTCCATCCCAGAGCTCCAACTTGTGGACGTGAAACGCCGAACCTTCTACCAGGCACGGACCAGCATTCAAGCAAATGTGAATGCTGCCAGCCCGTCGGTTGAACGTGGACGACAACCAACTCATTGCCTCGGGGTTGGTGCTTCCCAAGGCTCGTACGTGAAGCGTCAAGCTCCCATCTGCAGCCAGCTCTCGTGACAAGACCACGAAAGCTGCTTCGATGCCTTCTTGTCCATAAACCTCGCCGGGCAGTTCTGTAGTGATAACTTGTCCTCGACGAGGTGCAAAAAGGTTCCATCGGTCGAAGTTGCCCACTTCGTATTCTCCTAGCTCTGCGCCTGCAGCCTCCGGAAAAGCCGGGGCCGTCATCGCTTCTTTGGAGTTGGGGGCAGGCCAGGAATGGCCTCGTGCTTTGACTGGTTGGGGTCGAACTCAAAATGAGATCTATCCAAGCTCCGGTGCAACGGGACGAACGGATTGGCTTCCGCTCGATGCAAGCGCTTATGCTTGCGACCTGCCCGGTGCTTTGGCCTCCTCTTCCGAGACCTCTTCTTCTCTCCTTTTTCTTCTCCTCGATGATGTCGTCGTCGATGATGCTCCTGCCTTGGTCGCTTAGAACCTGCTGGTCGCTCTCGAGGGTCACGCACTTCCGACCTTCGATCCACAGGCACGGTGCTTGCACCAGCCTCCGGAGAGCGGTCCTTCTTTTCAGCCGGCCTTGGAGCGCTGGCCTTAGAAGCCAAGCCCTGCTCAGGCGTCCCCGGGGGGGACAATGGTGGCCTCTGAAGCCTCCGACTCCTCCTCCTCTGACTCGACCTCGCCGCTTTCCTCTTCGACAGGTCCCTGGACCCCGCTGCCGCGAGCTCCAGTCTCGCTTTCCAGCTCCTCCTTCTTGAGCTGGCGTGCCAACGGCGGCCGTTCGGCCGCGGGAGCCGAGGCTTCGCTAGGAAGCGCTCGGGCGTGCCCAGCCGAGGGAGCCGCACCCCGAGTCACTCGGAGCGCTCGCACTGTGCGTGCGGCGCTCACGAGGACGTCGGAGGCGACCACCCTCAGGCCCGGGTGGTGCCAGGCAAAGCCCAGCTCCGTGCCCAGCGCTTCCCACGCTGAACACGCGAGGCACCAGGTGTCAGCGTGCGCGGGCGACGCGCGCTTGCACCTGGCGCACAGGGACATCCCCCACCGCGAAGGACCTTTTGAGCCCGTGGCCAAAGATGCAAATCGTGCAACTTATCTCACCTAAAGGAAGATTTCATAGTCATACATAGATATTGTGATTATAAAATGTATTTATACGCAACATTATATCAACATATGTTGATGCTGGGCAAAAGGAATCTACCAAAAGCATCCAAAAGCTGGGTGTGTCTGGACAAAACGAAACCCAGTGAGATGGTGAAAAGCCCCATGGAACTGTCCACGAAGCAGGAGATAGAGCTCATGTCATTGGACAAATGTTAACTGAGTTGGCCTCACCCCCATGGCCTAGCCCAAGCACACAGAAAAGCAACCTCTTCTCTTCAACGATACTAATCCTCGAGATTTTGTTTTTGAACACCCCATGGTTTGTGGATGACGGCGTTAGTGCTCCGACGCCATGTCCGCGTGATTCGATCGACCGGATCCATACTGTCGGAAATCGGAAAACGGTTCGGATGATCCATTGCTCGGACCCCTCCGCCCGAGGCGTTGGGACGTGTTGAAGGCCCCGAAAGCAGTGGGAGGCCCGCTCGACCCGATCAGCGAAGCGGTGGGAGGACAGGGGAGGACAGGTTCGCCATGTGGGTGGTTTCGACGACACATCCGACGACAGTGACATCCCTTCACCCATGGCATCATGGGACGACTTAGGTCCAAAGGTGAGCATCTCGAAAACCTTGCTACGGCGCAGCGTCTTTCTCTGCTTGGTGATTTCGAACATCTATTGGGTCGGGAGTAGATGGCACAATGTCCCCGAGTTCCCTGGCATGTTGTTGTCATCCCTCATCTTTTCAAGACATCTTTGGGGGGTTGTGCCATCTACTCTGATTTCAACATATGTAAACCATCGCACCAACGAATAAGAACCTCGGATCGGAATTCGTCGGTTACTCGGTGCACCGGCCATGCGAATCGACCGGTCGAGACCGGGCGTGCCATGTAAACCTTCTTCAAGCCGCAGCTCTCCAGCAGTAGAGGGCCCTCCACTTCTTCAGAGGGCGTCCCGAGTGAGTTCGGGCGACGAATTAGGGCGGCCATCCAGATCTTCGTTCGCACAACGATGATGAGTGCAGCGATGCTTCATCGGCAGCGATGCTTCCTGAAATGGACAAAACCTGTGGGTAGACACACGATGGCTGTCGTCTTTCGAGGGCGTGATGACGCTGGAGCCAGGAGAAGCTGGTCGTACAACAAAACGAACATGAGAAGAACATGCAACATGTCCCTGAGATTGAATAGAAACACACACAAAGAGGCAAGTGTCTATATCTACGTCAATGACCAGTGCGGACCTCTCATCCTTTCAGAAGCGTTTCAGCTGGCGATGTGAGCGCTCCGGACAGGGCCGAGTGAGACACCCGCATGTCCAAAGGCGGGGCGATTGCATCTATATACGCTGCGCTCTGTGGGGAAAACTACCAGGGCCCAGTGGATGATCGCTAATTTACTTTAAACATGTCAAGGCCACACACCAAACATCTGCAAAAGAATTAGGTCTATCCCATTGCCAGGGCTCGATGTTTTTTCTGGGGTCAGGTTGCAAAGGCCATGTTTCTTTCAAACAGTGATCGATGAGTAAGTCAGTTGCTGACTGGGACAGAGTCGCTCGCTTTCTTTCCTTCTCGCTTTCTTTCCTTGCCATGCTCGGCACCCCGGAGCCAGTTCGGGGTGGAAAAGGCCGACCAGAATTGAGCCACGATCTATCTTCAATGTGCCACATCCATACCCTCTTCATAGAGCATCGCATCACTATTTTAGTGACTTACAAACAAAATCCTTGAGGAAACCAACATATCTGATTTCCCACTGTTTTCCCATGAACTGATCTTAAGGGATTCTGCGTTCGGAAAATGTGAGGTTTTGGACCCGGTTGTCCTCTTTTGGCTTCCCGAAGCACCCCATTTTCGGCAGCACCATGTGTGAGAGAAGACGATATTTCACTTCCATGCGCACGCGGGCACGGGCATTGGAGCCTCGGAACTGCAGCGGCCGACCGTGCGTTTTTGAACGGTTTTAACGGCGCACCGTCCCCCCTCCGCTCCAAAAAACGAGTGCTTCGGACTGGATAGACACGAAGGAGACAAAGAAAAAGAAGCAAACCGGAGTGTGATGTACTCATAGTAACTATGAAGAATCATTATACATGTTCAAATAACAAATCACCTCCAGGAGGCGACAGGAGCCCTTTGGCAAATCGTGACAAATCGGACATGTGCCCTGAAAAGAAGACCAGACTATTCTAGCCACCTTCACAAAAGCCTTGCTGGAAAGGGGATGGGGCAAACCTTCTAGAGTAAGTGCAACAACAGAAAAAGGGCTCAAACCTCGCAAAAGTAAAATTTGATATAGAACTTACATTCTGAAACTGGATAGAAGGTACAAATTTTGACATACAAAGTCTAAGATCTCTTCACTGTTTTTTCGTCCCCGGTGCGCGGCATCCACAAATAAACAGGATCGGTCGCTTCATTCAAGGACCCAATTTAGCCCGAATATGCCCAAACATCATTCCGTCTCACCCTCAGCTCTTAAAACTCAAGCCTCACCTTTTTATCACGTAGACGAACACAATATATATGTTAGGAAATTCATGAACGACACTGACCTGGAATCGTTCGAATCTGCGCAACACCGTGGAACGGTGGATTTCGCAACACCATTAAGGCCCATGCCCCAGCTGCGCCAGGGAAATGGTTTCGAGCCATGACCTGCCAGGTGGGAAGAAACACCGGGGTCAGTTCGTTCGGTTTTGGCGGAGCAGGTATGCGTTTGGGAAAAATCAATTGTAACGGTTCAAGAACACGCAACCAGCATTTGGCCGAACTCTCCATGAAGGTGTCATTATGTTCATGAGGGATCATGAGGGTAGGTTCTTGAAGCTGAAACCTGATGTGTGATGTAAAAGATGAGTTCATGCAAATGTTGACATGATTCTGCCAAGGCGACAATCTCTTCAATGAGCATTGAGTGATCATTGGAGAGATGCGGTGAGCATATACACCTGCCAATGCTCGAGGAAACATTATAAGTTCCTGTCATCTGCGCGGTGATTCACAAGGCAAACAGATCGTTTCAAATCTGGCACGACACGCAAAGAGAAAGGTTGCTTGGCTGCTATGACAACTCCAAAGATGGAACGGAAAGACACAAGCTTCATTCAACGGTTTGCACCTGCTTAGTTAAGTACGGTGTTGGACGTAACCTGACTGTTTCCTGACCCATTTCTCATTGACACCCACGTAAGTGGTAGTTTCACGTCCATGTTAACTGGCGCCACACAATGCTTGGCTATGCTAAAGACACAACAGGACTTGCAACTACAAGTTCAAGCATCTCACTGGGCGACAACTCGCGTTTTCTCTGCATCAGTTTGCATACAGGCACGGTTACAGAACTCTTCTCCCTTCAAACTACTTGGAATGTCTGAAGTGATGACAACCAAATGAAAACCAGGTGAGCCACCTTGAAACCATGGGAAATCAACGAAATGACTGGCCGTGTAGGCGATCCATCGATGGAGACCTCCAACCCTTGGCCAAATAGGGTACATACAGGACCTTGAACACGTATGCACATGTGTATATACCTGGAACCCGTTTGACCTCAGTTTTGATAAGAAGACTAATATTTGGGGAGGTTTGTGGTCCCAAATAGAGGTCATTCAGGTCATTCAGGTTCTAGGTGTATATTGTGTATAGCACACTCATCGGATGGTCCGATCTGCGATGGTAGACGCTGGACACTCTCGGAACACCCCACAGGCTCTCGGAACAGTCACTAGGGAAGTCCAAAACTCGACAGAAAAGGACCCACCACGACGAGAATCCCAGCAGCTTCCGTTCGTCCGGGTGGCTGAAGAAGGACTCCCCCGGTCCACACCTCGAGGCTATGGAAGGTCCTGGTAACCTGAACACCAAACACTTCGCTTGGGCCGGGGGAAGCTTCTTCCAGACTTACCCACCCCCACGAATCCAGCACATCCAGGACGCCCACGCCGCCCACGCCGCCCAAAGCGAACCTGAGCGTGCAGCGCGCTGGTGCTCATGGCTCGACCCAGCGCTTGCACCTGGCGAGGTTTTCCGGGTTCGAAAAAGAGAACGGGCCGGAAGTGGTCGGAAGTGGGAATGGACACCCAACTCCTTCCTCCAAGAAGTGATTCAGCACCCCATCTTGTGACTCCTGGTCTGTTCACAAGATCTTCACCATATGTTGCTGCCCCCAAAAAATTGCGAACCTTTTCTGCCAATTCCATTCCTTTTTCGGTGCTTCTTCCGCGGTTCGGCACCACGGTCTGTTCAGCCCACCCAACGGACCGGAGGGCGAGCCGTTCGACCAGGCGAAGAAGAGGACCCCGAGCGAAGTGGACCCCGAAGCAACTGCAGGTTGCGACCGAATCCAAAAACCTCCGTCGTGAGGGTCAAAGCACATACGCGAGGATCCAATGAGCATTTGGTGGTCAAAACAAAGCCCTTCCAATGAAAACCGGATGAGTTGATGGACGTTCGTTCACAGAGCCTGGGGACGTTCACAGGTGCAGGCAGTGCACGCATGTCCCCCAACTAAGCACCCATCATCGTTTTCGTAAAGTTTCACCCCCTTGCGCTTGCTTTTGTCCATCAACAGTAGGATCCACATACCTCAGTCCTATGAAGATCCTCCATATCATACTCCTTCAGGATCCCATACACTCAAGGATCCGCATACCTCCAGTATCCTCCAGTCCTTTTGGGAGGTTCCTGTGGATCCTGGTTTCGTCTCAGGTCCGGTGATGGAGAGCAACTTCGGACTCCCCACCCCATGGGACTGAAAGAGATGCCGCCACACTGAGCTCCCTGGCACCACCCCAACTGACCTGGGTGGTTGAGCCCTTCAAACACCTAAAGAGACTCCAAGGAGTTCACCAAGTTGTGTGCGAATTGACAATGCAGGGGGGATGGTGATGCATTTTGCCACTTTCATTCATTTTGCCTATAGCTTCTTGTTACTAGTAGGAATGGCCTCCACCTTCACGCGCCTCCGCGTCCGGCCGCTGCATCCGGCCCCGGAAAATGCGGCCCCGAGGCATCCGACGGAACCCACCGCCGTCCGCGACCGCCGCACCCGTGTGACGTTGACGCGTTGCCCTGTGTAGGAGAGCCGCCTCGGGAGAGCCGATCTGGTGAGGGACGGCGACGGGGGGGTGCATGACATAGGATCGATGTGTCATATGGGCAAGGCCAAGGAGAAAAGACAAACAGCGATGTTGTTACCGTTTCGCAAAAATAAAGAAAAAGAGGAACACCCACCCACTTCCGGTGCTCTTAACCTCATTGGAAGCCCGGCTTCATTTGGTCAACCCAACCCATTTCGATAAAGCGACCGCCATAAACAAAGCGATCCATGTGTTTTTTGCTTCTAGCCACTTTGGGCATTCAAACTCCAATTTTGTGGTCCCCAAATAGATAGAAACGGGGACCAAACGGTGTCCAATATATTTTCTATCCTTTTCTACGAACTTCTATCCATTTGGGGGGTCTATAGTCTATCAACCAATTCAGAAAAGGGTCCAAAGGGAAGGCGTGAACGAACGACCCTCGACCAGCGCGACGTCGACACCGCTTGCCGCCCAGGAGCGCCGGCTGAGCTTGCTGAGCACCAACTTGCACCGTGCGAGCCATCTGCGGCGATGCAGATGCGCCCGGCGCCATGCCCGGCGCCATGCCCGGCGCCATGCCCGGTGCCATGCCCGGCGCCATGCCCGTCGCCATGCCCGTCGCCATGCACGGCGCCATGCCCGTCGCTGGCATGGGCATAGGCATTGCAACATGTACCTGGAAGAAAGCAGCACCATCCAAAAGGCCAAGTTCAAGTCGGCTTTGAGGATAGCTGCTTCGAAAAGACTCCAACCAAAAAAAGGAATACACTCCCCAAAAACAAACATGTAAGTTGGACAGTAGCCTGAAAGACTACTACTTCCCTTTTCACATATGTTGATTTTTTGCAATTAGATATGATATAAGGAACAAATATGCTGCCTTCCGCTTCCAGTTATTCATGCCAGTGTCCCAACTATAATTATCATCCTCATTGCCATCGTAACCAATCAAGCACTCCCGGGTAGCTTTTTCATTTTCGACCCACCCACCCCACACAGCCAGTGGCCTGCAGAGGACTTCCGACCACACCCAGGCTGGCGGTGGGAAGAGTAGCTGCCGAGGCGTAGAGTGACCCGACCTCGTCGACTGCGCGGGACACGCGTTCGACCATGAGAGTAAGGCTGGAGAGAATCTCCGGGGCGATGGGTGTTGTGGGCAGAATCCAGTGGATTGGAGAGAATCCTGTGAATTGGTCTATGGTATAGATGTATAGTCTAGTTGATATAGATTGGCAATGGTATAGATGGGTAGATGGTATAGGTGAATTGGCAATGGTATTGGCAGCGGTTGCTAGATCTTGCTAGCCGAGTGAGGTGCAGTCTCAAGGACAAAGGCTCATGAAATCCCACAAAATCTGCCAACGAGAACTCTGGGTGTATCTGCAATTGGCGGTCAGCTCAACTCAACCCTCCACAGACCATCTGCGTCTTACTGTTGGTATTTCAGTGACAAATGTCCAAAAGAACACCTGGAAAAAGAAAAACCTCCCAACACCTGGAGCTTCGCAGTCACGACTTCGGCGAGTCACCACCAAGGACCGGTGGCGACGCCCAGGATCGAACGGATCCGCGAGTCGACCGTGTCGAGTGTCGAGGCAGTCGTGTGGCCTTGCACATCAACGGTGAGGGAGCTTCACGAACCAGCGCCTGGCGAGAGCGTTCGGGCGAGAGAACATCTGACTGGCTCCGGAAGGTGTTCAGGGCTCCGCCTGACTGGGTGGCAGTCTAAGGCCGGGCAAAAGAAGAACCTCCTCTCCAGTTCGATTGACCCAGTTTGGGCAACAAAAAATGGCTCTTTCTGACCCAGACTCCGCTCGACCTTTAAGCCTCTGGTTGTGGGGTCTCATCCACAGCCACCAGTCTTGATCCAGATCAAGAGCCCTAACAAAAGCTGACCTGGTATTGGGATGCTCAGGCGGATTCTTTCTTGGGCGACCATCCGCAGAAGTCTCAGCTCATGTCCTGTTCCGATGTCCTCCTTTTCTCCCAACGATCCTCCCCCCAGCCAACCCGAGCTGTCTCCGCTAGCTTGCAGCTCCAAACTCATCAGCACCTTCCTTGGCCAGGGTCTGGCTGGAATACCATAACTGGTTGGTGTTTTCAACCCACTTGAAAAATATTAGTCAGAGGGTCCAATCATCCCCAAGTAAGGGTTGAACATATAATCACCTAGATCATCACTCCATGCACTGAGTCCCTTAGTGGATCTCGGACACCCCCGCTCACCGAAGGTTTGCAGCGCACTCGGCGTTCACTTTTGTCACAGCTCCCCACCGCCCTCCCGGGCGGTGCTCGTCTTCAGCCGCGCGAGCAGCTGCGCGGCGTCCGCGAAGCCCTGCTGCGCTAGGTCGCTGAGGAGCTGCTCGGCGCGATACATGTGGAAGGGCGCGATGGGCACCGAGGCCTTCTCGGTGTTGGGGGGCGACCGGATTTTAAGAAGGCGCGAGCTGTGCAAAGAGAGAGGGAGAGAGAGAGAGATCTTCTGGTTCTTGAAGACCAAAACGTGTGAAATGAGTCTCATCAATGTCATCAATAATTCATCACGTGCTAACATGGGCATTGAATGAATTGGAATTCTCATTTGGATACAGCATATTAGTTGGAATGGATGTGACCTTCCATATACCTTCCTTTGACCCAAGGCACGGTGCCCAAGGCGGGTTTCCGCTTTCCAGGTGCGCCTTCTGCAGCTTCACGAACTGCACCAAGGAGGCCTTGCTCTGCATGCGCAGGAGCCAGGGCACCACCTCCTGGAGCGCCCGTTAGGTTCCGGAATCGCCTAGGTCGGGTATGTATCCCCTTAGACCATCATGGACCAGCTTCTTCAAAGTGACTGAACTCTGGAGTCCTTATAAGGTGATCCTTTACTGGCCTGCTTGCCGAAGCAACGAGGGGATCAAGTTTGGTCACTGGTTCGGAAGAACCAGGTCCAATTCCGTGGAACATCGGGAAAAGCGGAGGTCCAACAACTCTGTAAAGAGAGGGATGTCCAAGGGAGAGCCAGGATTCTGCTTCAGGGATGGTCCCGCAAATGGCCGGAGAAAAAGAATTCAAATAACTTTCAAGCTTCTCGAGATTGTTTAGGGGAGAATAGGGTTTAAGAGTACAGGTCATGAGCTGTGATCGATTCCCAGAGCCTTGCAGGCCCCACGAAGTTTGGGGGTCCCCATTCTGCTGAAGAGTGAGCCTCACCTTGCCATTTCTGCCAGGGTAGTTGGGATTCTGGATGTTCACCACGTCTTCCAAAAATAACCTCCTGATTGCAACATGATCCTTGTAGTTTCGAGACGTGCCTATGTTGCTTGCAAAGAAAAAGACGTGTCTAGGAAAACCAGGAAAAAGGTAAACATCTAAAATCCTTCTAAAGCTCATCAGCAATCCGACGATCAGCCATGAACTCCTGGACCCCCAAAGGAAAAACCAGCTCGAAAGACGACCTCGTTTAGAGCTAAGCCGCCAATGGCTCGAACCGCCGGACATCCAAATAGAAACTTCAACCGGACAAACACAAATTAGCCCAGCTGGAGACCCCAATAGCAAGACACAATCCGCGTATTAGTTTTGCAAGACCCCATAGCATGGCTATTGGGGAACAATCAAACAACAACAGATCTGGGTCAAACATCTTCGGCCCTGGAACACTCCACAGCTGGGACCATGTTTCCATCGAATGTCCGAAGAAGGCTACGAAGGACCGGTCGGCCAGCACTCTTTGCGGAAAAGGCACCTGGGACCTGCCTGTCGTGAAAGTGCATCTGAGCATCCATAAGAAACATTCATCCACTAAAAAGGCTGTCTTCTTGGGGTCTGTTGTCTGCATTCTGTAGCCCATTCTCTAAAACCTCACCGATTGCATCAGTACTTACCGCCTTCCCCTTCATCCCCTTGGCTGACAAGTCGTCCCCTCCTGCCAGCGCTTGGCACGTGCAAGTGGTTCGACCCACCTGAAGAAACGGCCACATCGTGGAGAACGGCGAGCGACGGCGAGAAACTCGCAGGGGCAAGGCGGAACCGCGAGGCGTGGGAGGCGGCCACTCCAGAACAACTGTTTTGGAAGAATGGAAATACCATGAAATACCAGGAACCCAGGAGTCACAAAGAGGTGCCTGGGCCTATTGGAGGGTGCGAACAGCACCCTGGAACAGCACCAACCCACTGGATGGGAGTATAATCAACCCACTCTTTGTGACTCCTAGAGCAGGATCTTTCATGTGGCTCATGGTCCACTTCCACTTCGGAACGCCGGCCTCACGTGGTCCACTTCGAAAGGACCGACGTGGGGGTTCATCGGTTCAACTCGTGTGGAGGACGGTTGCTTTGACCACGAATCTTCCACCAAAGCTGAGGCCTTTGATTGACCGGGGAGAGTACTTTGCCTGTTTCAGCCGAGGATGACATTCATGAGCGACATTCTTGTTCATAGCTTGTTGTGACTATAGTACTAATGCACTTGTTGTGACTGGCTTCATCCGTCCAGCTGTAAAGATCCAGACTCTCCACCGTGGACCTGGGTGGGACCCAGAAGTGGGTGCGGGAAAAAGGCTTCGGGGACAAGGAACATCCACCACGGTAAAACCACGACAAAGTACATGAGTTGGTTGCACAAGAACATATATGGTTGTTCTATTGTTCAATCGAGATCCAAATGAAAGAAGTGCGGGCTTGCCCATTGGAGAGACCCAGCAAAAGACCGAAGAAGTTGGCTGTCAGCCTATCAGCCTGCAAGAACTTCCTCCCAGCATCATCGAGCAAAAAAATAAGTTCTACTACACTATCTCTACACTCACTAAGATGGAAATTGAAAATCTTTTGTTTCTTGAGGTAAAAGGTCATCGTCCAAGAAAAAACAAGTTCCGCTTCCATCCGGAACCACCATTCAGAGTCTACTAGTAGTGTCAAAGAAACCTTTTCCCTTGGACGACCCTCCGAAAACTGCCGACGGTGGTGTTTAGTGCGTGCACTCCTCGCCTCTTCATGGCTTCCTCGTGGCCCATCCGCGCCGCGCGCTCGAGGAAGAGCTGGGCCAAGCTCTCATTGGCCAAGCGCTGTGGAGTCTCCTGGCGTCGATCTCCGGCGTCTCGTGCGCGAGCCATCCGGGTGACGCGGGGGGGGCAGTCCGAAGCAGTCCGAAGTCCGAAGCCCGGCGAAGACGGAGTCCAAAAGGGCGGCCCGATACGCGAACTGTTTGTTTATGCTGAGGAAGAAGGCCTTGAGTTCAGATGGTTGTAGCCACTGTAGGTATGGCTCAGAAGCCAAGCCTTCTTTGGAGAGGCCGGAAGACAGAGAGATGGATGTTTGGGAGAATTTTGGGGTATTTGTTTTTTGGTTTGGGTCATATGATCTTGTGAAGGTCCAATAAGAACATCTGGCAACCCTGCCGACAGGAAGACGCAATGGACACCCAATTCTGGTCCTTGGTCGTGAACGGCATGCTTCACTTTTTGTGACTCGCCCAGAACGTGTGAGGTTCTCGTTGTCTGCGTCTCATAGTTGACATCCATTCAATACATTCGACTGCTTGCTGTGAGTAGCAAGCCAAAGAATTCAAGAACTCAACAAGATATGTGCCTTTTGAGGATGCTAATTCGGTCTTGTGCCCTAGAAGTCCAACCACCATGTGTATGTGATAGTCTTTACCAAACAACCATCGTTTTTACGAAGGATTCACACAGATCAACATAGATCAACCGTTGAACATGGTCGTTCACGAACTTCCGGTATCAGGAACACCTCATCCCCAAACGATCTTCAAGTACTTTGGGCTTCCCAAGCTCCTCCGTCTCCCAGACCGGGGGACCCAAGCATCCGCATCTTCCCAGGCTGATCCTCCCAGACAACAACCTGCCTGAAGGACCATGGACACAAAACCATCCAAAACCGGGAAACACGGGCCGGTCTCCGATTGAAATCCACAAACCGCCGTTTCTCCGTTTCTCGTGTTGCGAATTCCAAGCAAAGCCGCCATGGCCGCGCGACGTAGGTGACGCCATCATCATCACCCGAATCGACCATCATCTACCCATTCTACAAAGGAGGACAGCGTCCTTCTTTAGCCAGGGACCCGCAACCACACCGCGCCCAAAAAAAAAGACTATAAAAAACCTATATCCCCACGCTGCGGACGGTTGGAGGCCATGGCCGCTCTTAAGACGATGGTGAATCGCGATGGGCTAGCTCGCTCGCTCGAGATGGGGCCACCTCACCTGGGAGTACATCAAATAGCTCTGGTGCATCGCCTCGACGGTGAAATCCGCCGCGCGCTCGAACCACTGCGTGGCCAGGTCCTCGGACGGAACGCACGGCGCATAGACGGCGGTGCAGCCCACCGCGCAGAGGTCGTGGCAACGCGTCTTCGTGCCAGGCAGAAGCAAGTAGAACATAGAAACATGACCTATAGCAAGATATATGCTGGATTCCAACAAGAAGACCCTCTGCCTGACGTAGAAAATATCCTTTCCAGAAGCGTCTGGCCC